CCGGATGCCGCGTTGCAGCCATACACATCGGGGCGCCGAGGCACGGATGTTTGTTCCGTTGGCAGCGCTGCGAGACACTACTTCCGCGGTGGCACGGCGCGGCGCGGCACGGCACGCCGAGGAATTGCTGCAAGGATTTCTCTCGCCCCCGCGCGGCCTCGGCCCCGGCCGGCCCCAGGCAGCCCCCGGGCGTGGTGGCGCCTGGAAAAGGGGTTACAGCGGATTGCTGCGAGGCTGCGAGGATCACCGCCCCTGTGCAGTGTAGCCGCTGCGCCCAAACTTGAAACGCACACCGCTTTCTAGGCAAGCCCTCCGGGGTGCTATAACCAGCCCCCCCCCCCCTCTCTGTACCCGCCATGGTGAACACACACACACACACACCAACGCTGTTTATACTCGTACCCACGCGCACTCTCCACCCCGCCGTCGTCGACGCGCGACCTCGGCCTGGAGGCAGCCGGCCTTCTTCTACACTCAGGGCTTTGGCACTGTACCGCCGACACACACACACACACACACACACACGGGCGCATTTGTCTCTCGCAGCGTACATCCTCCCAGCATGTCCGCAATTAAGTTAAACGTGCGTTAATTCAACGAGAGGGCCGCCCGGCACACGCAGCGGCAAATAGATACGGGTCCTTTTCCACGGTTTTTCTTCCTCTTCTTTTCTTTCCTTTTCTTTTTTTTTTTTTTTCAAGGTCCTTCCGCCGACGCGTGGCCTTTTGGGCGCTTACCTGTGAGGTCCGCGGCGACGGCCGTGCAGACGAGCAGGCCCAGGGCCAGCGTGCCCAGCAGCAGGACGGGCCCCCGCCTGGGCCCCAGCCTGGGCCCCCGCAGCCCCGCTCCGGTCATCGGTCGTCCTGGAAAAAGAGACAGCAGCTTATCACAGTGGTTCTCAACCTTAGGGTCGCGACCCCAAGTGGGGTCGCGAAAATTTTTTTAAGGGGTCGCGGCGAGGTAGCTGGGGTCGTGTTTTGGTCATGGCGGAGCGGCGCCCCCCAAACACATCGGTACCGAGGCTCTGCAACCTCCCCGCACGCACGCCAGACGCACGCCAGACGCACGACGGCAACTTTGGAACACGACGAAAGAGAAAGAAAGGAGCTTACTCGCAGCGCAAAGTCTGCTTGCGCCCTGTGATGCCGCCATGACTCGAACAGCGCGCCTTCGTCGCTCTCTCTCGCACGCGGCGCATCCTTCGGGTGCGAGAGAGACAGAGGGACGGCGACTCGGACCAGCAGCTGGTCCTGTAATACCTCCGGCCAGTGCCCCGTTGAAAGTTTGACGAGGGAGGAAGACGCTCGACTTTCTGGACGTAAACGCGCCTTGCTGCTCCGCCAAAGAACGGACTGCACCGCACGACCAGGCACGGCCGGGCTCGCTGGAAGTAATGGAATCATCCTTGACTCGCTTCGGTGCTCTCAGTGTCCGGCACGTGGCTCTCTCTCTCTCTCTCTCTCTCTCTCTCTCTCTCTCTCTCTCTCTCTCTCTCTCTCTCTCTCTCTCTCTCTCTCTCTCTCTCTCTCTCTCTCTCTCTCTCTCTCTCTCTCTCTCTCTCTCTCCACCTCTGCCCCCGAACGCACCAAAAGCCAGGGTTATTATTCTAACTTACGACCACGCGCTGACGCGCCGATCCGAACAGAGCCGCTCCACGTCGCCAAGAAGGCTGCATTTTTCATCCCCGCGCGTCCTCGCCACGCATTCCGCACAGTGTACTTTGGTCTCTCTGTCTCTCTCCCTTTCTTGGGGCGTACCGCAGGTGTGCGAGAGAGAGAGAGAGAGAGAGAGAGAGAGCGACGAATCACTGGTGGCCAGGCCGAGCAGGCAGCCAGGTGGAGGTGAGTCGAGCAACTTTGGCCGCTTTAAAACCAAAGTTGTGGTCGTCTCTCTCTCTCTCTCTCTCTCTCTCGCTTTCGAATTGCAGATGGACGCGCACGGCGGCGTCAGTCCCGACCGCCCGACCTAATGAAGCGTCCCGCGCCGCCATTTCGCGCCACTTTACCACTAACTTTTCATTTCAAAAAATTTAAAAAAAAACTTTCAAAAAAAGATATTATTATTATTTTTTGTTGAGTTTGTTCGGTAAGCGAGGCCGTAAGGTCTGCCCCAGTTTGTGCCCACACGACCAACAACGACAGGTTTGGCGTTGTCTGGTTTTCGTTGTCGTGTGAGCCCTTTGTAGACCAAAGCCCGCTGGCATCGCGATCTGGTCAATATGCGGATCAGATCATCAGCCACCACAAAGCCGATTGGGCGAGCGGCGCCAACAAAAACAAAGAAAGGAAGTTTCAAAACAACAAAAACAACAGGAGTTGAAAGGGCAGGGCAGGGCTGCGCGGGAGGGAGAGAAAAGAAGAGTAGTTTGGTAAAGCGCGATGCCCCCCCCCCTCCTTTCGCCGATCGCGTTATAGGCACCGATTTGAAAAATGGCGGGAGCGTATGATGCCCCCCGGGGGACGGCCCTAATGTCGCAGCGCTGCTGGAGAAATAACACCCAACCAATCATTGTTTGCAAGTCGAACGTGACTACGGTGTCTGCGTGTGTGAGTGTGTGCGTTGCGTCGGTGTGGTGGTGTGGGATGTGTTTCGGCGCCGTTTCCATCCGACCTTCAGGCACAAGGGATGATACGCTGAATTTTCGGCGTCCTCGGCTCGAGCCTGTTGCCCCCAGCGCTGGGAATGAGCGTGTCATTATGTTTGAAATTAATACGTTAGGTGAAAATCTGAAGAAGTATTTGCAGCGAATAAAAGGTACAAGCTGTTTTTTTTTCGAATTAAAGAAATTGTTTTAAAATTATTTTTTATTTTACTGTCTTGCTGTCTGTCTTTTTCAGGCGGGCGTGACAGCCTGACAGTGTGTGTGACTGATGGGCGTTGTGTCGATTGCGTCGCGGGAATCGCTCATTATATCGCGCGGACCAATCACGTTCCTATCGCAATTGCTTTATTCGTGCCGGACTATGGAATCCGAAACACTGTATTTCTCTCTCCTTTTATTGGCTTTCCTTTTCAGGCTGACGCGTCGGCTGGCGGGCGCTGTGGCCGAAAATACCCATTCTTTTATTAATGTCGGTCCCCTATACTGCCTCTCTGGCCAGCCGGCAGCCTCAGTCGCTCCAACACGCGCACTATACCCCATGCGCAATTTGTCCTTTGGTTCGCATCGTCGGCCCTGCGGGCTTGTGTTCCTGTACAACTAACTGCCCCAACCACCAAACAAAAAAAAAGTTTGAGACGAGCTAATGGAAACCGTCGTCATTACGCTTCGACAACAAAGTTCCCCCTTCCACGCTCCGCCCAATTTGACGATGAGACCGGACTTTTTGAATTTTGGAATCGACTCTGTAAAAATGCACCAAAGTATTTTTTGCAACGGTCCAACTGTCGTTGATTCTTCGCCCTGTCTCTCTCGCACTCACGGGGCGTGCCGTATAGGTGCGAGAGAGACAGAGCGACGACAACGACCCACTGACCGACCCCTTGGCAGCGCCTCGGCTACAAACCTTTCAAGGCGCCGGCGGTAAACAGCGCCGCCTTGTAATCTCTTAGCCGGCCTTTCACAATCCGACTGATTGATGCTTCAGGAAGGGAGGCGGAGGCCGAGAGCCGAGCCGCATGCTTATGGAGTGGTTTTTACCTCGTTTAGCCAACGGCCGCCAACGGCCCTCGATTTGGCCATTTTCGAGGAGGCCAATTCGGCATTCAGCGCGGAGAGTGCTCGTCATCGGGAAATCTTGGCAGAGTCGCGATTTGCCGCCATATTTCTGAAAGTCCCTGCTGGCCGAATAAAACGCTTTCGGGCGGAACGGCCTCGCGGGGAACGATGCTCGAAATGCAGATGTAATTGCGGCATTGCAATCTCGCCAAGCATGGCGTTTCGGATTTCATTTGCATTGCTAACAACTTTCCGCGCGGGTGTCGGCGTGTAAACATGAGTGGTTCGTTTGCGAAGGGGGCGGCGGACTTCCCCGCGACGCCGTGGAAGGCGGCGAGACACTGTTTGGGGTTCGCGCAGCTACCTACCCAGACGGTATCCTTCGGTGGTAATCCAACAGGTACTAGAACACACACATCGACACACTCACACGCACGCGTGCGCACGCCGCGGCTACACGACCACCATCGCGACGCTCACTCACACACGCGCAGCGCTTCACATGACGACGACCACGTGGCTGGTGGCGCGGCGTGGCGGCGCGGCGCGACGGCTCTCCGCGACGGGGAAGTGGGGCCGGACTGGGGGTCCGAGCACCACCGAGGCCCGGTGGAACCCCGGCAGCGTCCCGTCCTCCGGCCGCCCCGCCGCCGGCACCCCACCACCGCGCCACCCACCCCCGCTTCACAGCGCACAGTGGGCCAGGTGCGGCCGGCGGGGGTCCCTGCTCGGGACTTGGGCTACGAACGGATTCGGGCCGCGAGCCGAACATCTGCAAGGGAGAGGTTGGACGGCAGCGGTGTCCTTGTGTCTCACCCCTCCAAACCCTTTAAGCGAGCAACGACCCCGCACTGAGTGTACACAGTGCCCGAGGACCCGGCCAGGACACCGGCCGAGGCGGTCAAAATCCCGGACGCGTTTTGTTGAGCTCCAGAGTCGCTAAATGGTACTCGAACCGAACGTGTGACCCTTTGTCCTGAGACTCCAATGGTGGAGCCAGCGAGACAGAGAGAGAGAGAGAGAGAGAGAGAGAGAGAGAGAGAGAGAGAGAGAGAGAGAGAGAGAACGTTTCCGGCTCATCATTGTGCCGTCGTCGTCACGGAGTTGGCGGTGTAGTTGGGGATGATTATCGCGATTAGCGCCACGTCGAAAGGGGTCGCGACACTCTAAGCTAATTCAATGTATTTATTGAGATAATTACACACCAACCACAATTTGGTAGTCATTACAGACAGCAACATCAAGCCAAAAATCAGCAATCTATTTTTTTAATTTTTTGCGACACAGTAAAGCAGCAGCGTTTCGCATCAAGCAGTGATTCAAAAGTTTTTATTTTTAAACGCGGTGGTGTTGCAAGGCGTTGCTACTCGTCCTCGGACTCCACCCCCGCCTCCTCTTCGCCGTGCAGGAGCCAGAAGGTGCTCATTAGTCCCTTTCCCTGCGACAGCAGCAAACTTTTTAGTCGTGCATAAAATTAAAAATTAACGAAAATGAGACGGGCGTTGCAGCAGTACCTTGACCCAAACCTGCCCTCTCGGCATGGTCCTGAACTCCTCGCCCTTCAGCAGGGACTGCGTGGCGGCCGACAGCTGGACGCTCCCCGACTGGAAACAAACATGCGCAAACGCTTTGCTGAAAAAGCAATAAAATTTTTGCTGTTTTTTTACGTGTTGTTTAGCGAGGGGTGTTCGTACCAGGCTGCTGGACTGCATCCTGGCGGCCGTGTTGACAGTGTCCCCGAAGAGGCAGTAGCGCGGCACCTTGAGGCCCACCACCCCCGCCACCACGGGCCCGGAGTGTAGACCTGCAAGCGGGGGGTAGTTCACCGCAGGGCTGGCGGCCGCTGGCGATACCCCACGCCCCGCCCCGGGCGCGCGGAGTATCGCACAGTGTGGGAGGCGGCCCAAATCCCGGACGCGTTTTGAGCTCCAGAGTCGCTAAATGGGACTCGAAGCGAACGTGTGACCCCACCAATGGGTTGCTCTCCGAACGAGGAATCCATTGATGGGGTCACACGTTCGGTTCGAGTCCTGTTTAAGGTGGCCTTACAATGCGTGTCCGCCTATGTCCGGCGTCCCAATATTGGCGTTTTTGTTGAGAAAAGTTCGCATATGATGGTTTAAAAGGGTTAAGAATAGTAATTTACATCACATTCCTGTTACATTTTGTTCAAATAGTGCCAATAATCGGAGGACGGACATGGCCGGACACTCATTGTAAGGCCACCTTTAGCGACTCTGGAGCTCAAAATGCGTCTAGAGTTTTGGCCGCCGGCGCCGGTCTCGTGGCCCAGTCTTTTCCGCCACGACGCCTTCCTCACCGATGCGCACGGGCTGCCGTAGGCTGCGGGCGCAGCGCTGCAGCCCCAGCGCCACCCTGCAGGCGTGCACGGCGTGGTCGCGGTGCGGCTCGGGCGCGCCGCTCACCACCATGTACACCTGGCCCACCGTCTCCACCTGCAGACAGTGTGGTGGCTCTCACAGTGCCGGCCTCAACCCCCACCGCCACGCCACGCCAAGTGCCTCACCTTGTACACGTGGTGGTCGTCGAGCAGGTGGTCGAACTGCGAGAAGGCCTGGTTGATGGTCTTGACCTTCTCGGCCACCACCTCGGCCGTGTCGGCCTGCTCGCCGCGGTCCACGTCGAGCAGCTCGCAGAAGAGCACGGTGACGGCGTCGAAGGCCTGGCAGGTGTCCAGGGCGCTGCTGGCGCCGGTGCCGTCCAGCAGGCGGTCGGCCACGGTGCGGGGGATCATGGAGCAGAGCAGCTCGTCGCCGCGGCGCCGCCACTGGTCCAGCAGGCGCAGGCTGTCCTGCAGCTGCGTCGAGTGCTGCTCGGCGCGCTCGCACATGAGCTCCAGGCGCGCGCACTGGTGCCAGCCCTCCATCACCATCTCGCGGCTCAGGCCGTGCAGGTTCAGGTCGTTGAGGAACAGGCCCTGCGCCGCCAGCTCCGAGAGGTCGCTCACCCTGCGCAGTGAGCCAGAAGACGCGCTTTGAGCTCCAGCGTCGCTAAACAGGACTCGAACCGAACGTATGACCCCCACCAATGGGTTCCTCGTCCGAAGAGCAGGCCATAGGTGGGGTCACACGTTCGGTTCGAGACCAGTTAAGCTACTCTAGAGCTCAAAGCGCGTTTAGGATTTCGGCCGCCTCCACCGGTCGTCTGGCCCACTGCAGGGGCGCTGCTGCCACTCACAGCGGGGAGCAGAGGAAGACGATGCACTTGGTGTCCTCCAGGTACAGCATCTGGCCCTTGAGCAGGATGCAGGCGCTCGTGGTGCTCGCCCTGTCGGCCTGCTTGTCCTTGACGTTGAGCACCTCCACCTCGAACAGCACCGACTGCAGCTGCCGGATCTGGAAGCCGTGGGTGGAACGAGAGCCGACTCGGTCACGTCGTGACGTCACGGCGCGCAGTGGGCCTGAAGACCGGTGCCGGCGGCCAAAACGCGTCCGGGATTTTGACCGCCTCCACCGGTCTTCTGGCCCACTGCGCAGCGCTCGGCGGCGCTAGTGTAACTCAGTACTGACGCTGTCCATGGTGAACAGGGCGCCCTGGGGCCGCCGGATGCGAAAGAACTCCGAGGCCACGGCGCCGTGGAGGCAGCGGCCGCCGTCCTGCAGGGCCAGGACGTCCAGGAGCTTCTCCCCGGCCTGCTGCAGCACCAACGCGCTGCCGTCCGGGGCGCTCTGGAACGCAAACTTTGTTCAGCGCGCAAGTTTTAGAACGAAACGGCACCGTTCCGCTCCGGGCTGCCTCGGGCCTTGCAGACCGATTCAGAGAGTCGTTCTCGTCGCTCTGTCTCTCTCGCACTCATGGGCCGCCCCGTGTAGGTGCGAGAGAGAGACAGAGCGACGAAAACGAGCCAGGCCTCGCCCACCTGCAGCAGCGCGCCGAAGGGGAACAGGTCCATGAGGAGGCCGGCGTGCACGGGCGGCATGCGGCGGTCGGCGCTCGACCGCAGTCCCTCCAGGTTGGAGCGCGAGGCCATGTAGGCCCTGTTGTCGAAGTCGAGTCGCAGGCGCGCCTCGGTGCGGTGCTCCACCTCCGTGGCGTCGTTCTCGTCCCACTCCAGCACGGACACCACCTTGATCTGCAGCGGCGTGTGGAAGAACGTCTCCGCGATCTGCTGAAGCTGGCCTGCAAGCAGAAGCCATCATTTCCCCTCTTTGTTTTCCCCTGTGTTTGTTGTTGTTGTTGCTGCTGCTGTCTGACCGATGAAGTAGGGCAGGAAGCCCTGGCGCTTGCTGCGGTACACCAGCACGGCGCCGTCCGCGTCGCGCTCCGCCAGGAACATGGAGGGGCTCTTCATCTTGGGGTACGAGAAGCGGATCTGCTGGTGGATGTTGTCCACGCCGCCGAGGAAGTCGCAGAAGTGGCGGCCGGCCGCGCGGATCAGGTCGTCGTACCTGCGGCAGGCAGTGCAGCGTCGCACAGTGGGTCAGAAGACCAGGCGGTCGAAAGCCCGGACGCGTTTTGAGCTCCAGAGTCGCTAAATGGGATTCGAACCGAACGTGTGACCCCACCAATGGATTGCTCTCCGAACGAGGAATACATTGGTGGGGCTACACGTGCGGTTCGAGTCCTGTTTAGCGACTCTGGAGCTCAAATTGCGTCGAGAGAGGGGGGAGCTGACCCGAAGTTGCTGAAGAATCGGACGAAGCACCGGCCGAAGAACGTCATGAAGTCGTCCTCCGTCACGGGCCAGCGGCCCTGCTCCAGCTCGGCATGCTCGGCGGGGCGCTGTGCGTGCTGTGGTTGCTGCTGCTGCGCCGGCGCCCCGCCGTGGCCGCCATGGCCGCCATGGCCGCGGACACCCCGCTCTCGCTGGAGGCCTCGCTGGAGGACGCCGTCGGCGGCGCGACACACGCCCAGCCCCTCAGGGCGCTTCTCCGTCGCTGGGGGAAGTACCATACCCGCGTTGAACTTAAATCGTCCCACTAATGTATTTTGATATTTGTAAATTTGCGAAGTGGCTGCCAAAACTAGTCTGTGGGACATTATCTCCGACGGAGTGTCACTCCAGTCCGACTGACCGTTCTGGGGCAGCAGGCGAAGAGGTACCAGGCCGTCGCGCACAGCGTCCGCAGCGGCGCGCGCAAGGGCCCGCATAGTGCTGTCAGCGTACTCCTGATGGGTGGAATAAACTGTGTTGGGGCAGCCGGCCCCTGACAGAAAAGCAGCCCACGCATCATCTCCATACTCCAGCTGCGGGGCAGAAACCAACAGGTTTGTTGTTGTTATTATTGGAGGGAGTTGGCAGCGGACTGATTCCGAGCGTCGTCGTTACGGCCCGTCGTCTCCCTCGCACTCACGGGGCGTCCCGTATGCGTGCGAGAGGGACAGAGCGACGACTCTTGGAATCAGCCCACAGAGAATGGTGTGTTGTATGCAAGGCCGCGGGGATGGAGGGTGCAGTGTGGTGGTGCGTGTGGCAGTGTGCCGGGCCGTGGCGTGCGGCCCGACAAGAAGTGGCACGCCTCTTCCAGGAAGCGCTCCAGTTGGAGTGGTCGCAAGAAACGACGCGCACGCCACGCCCGCCGCCGTCTGTCTCTCTCGCACCCCTACGGACGCCCCATGAGTGCGAGAGAGACAGAGCGACGAAACGAGCCTTCGGATGGGGCGGCTGGCCACGCCCCGGTGCGGCACACTGTAGCCGTGTCGCGGGATGCCTGGGCTAATTGAGGAGGGGGCTGGGGTAAGCCGGAAGTGTGTAGCGTCCAATTCACAAGAACGTAGTAAAGGGAGGCCAAGAGCATTGCTCCAGGCCGAGATAATTTCTCCAGGCCAAGATCATTTTCTTCTAAGGGGTTACCAACTCAAGATTTTCATGTGCACTGATTACTGAACTTTTAAAATTATTATTATAATGTATTGATTCCATGTGATTACTATGAATTGATTAATTATTATGAATATCACTGATTATAGGAGATTATAAATAATTTCGGTGATTATTAGGGATTTTTGGAGATTATTTGAGCACCGACCCCGGAAAACTGTCAAAGTGTCGAAAATCAAATATCGCTGACTTTGGGCTGCCACTGAGACCAATCTAGCTGCGGTCAAAGGCCTCCCTCAACGCCCTAGCAATCTTAAGACCCCACTCTTTCATGCCCCGCCTCGGAAAGACTTTGACCGCAGCTAGTTTGAGAGCAGTGTTCTCGCAAAAAAAGGCCAAAGAGTGAAAAGTAGCCGTTTTTTGCTGACTTTGGGCGACCGCTTCGTCCAATCTAGCTGCGGTCAAAGGCCTCCCTCAACGCTATAGTATATTTAGGACCCTGCTCTTTCATGCCCCGCCTCGGGAAGCCTTTGACCGCAGCTAGTTTGAGAACAGTGGCCTCCCAAAGTTGGTCAAAAAGAGATTGACTCTCCAAACTCATTATTTTCTGCTGATTATGCAGAGCGGAAGTCAGCTAAAAAGTACAACGAGCACAAACCCACCTGGAGATAGTGCTGCACACTCTCGAGTAGCATGCCGTACATGGCGGCGTGTCCGGTTCGGGGGTCGGCGCGCGACTGCAGGGCTCCGGGAAGTGGCTGCCGGACTCTGCTCTGGGCGACGGCCTGGGCGATGGGGGCGCGGAGCGCGCGCGCCGCGGCGACGGCGTGACCGTCAGGGTGGTTGGCCGCGAGGAGCGGGGCGAGGAGGGGCACGAGGAGCGCGACCCCGCCGGCGGCTCGGCCCCCACCACCACCACCGTCGGGGCAGGGCTTCGCGCGCCTCGCGCCGCCCTGCCGGCCCTGCGCGCGGGCCCGGCGGGTCCAGCGGGCGCAGCGTCCAGGCCGGCGTCGAGGGAGCCAGCCTGGCGGGCCGGGCCTCCGTCATGACCCTGCGCGAGGCCGGCCGCCCTGCGCGCGCCGTCCAGGCTGGCCACGCTCACGGCGAGCACCACCTGCTGCAGCGACGGCTCGACAACGGCGGTGGCCACCTTGACGTCGGAGGGGAACCGCGGTAGCAACGGCCTGGACTCGGAGTCACTGGACGACGACGACGCGCTGGAGGACGCCGCGCTGGAGGACGCCACACTGGAGGACGCCGCGCTGGAGGACGCCACACTGGAGGACGCCACACTGGAGGACGGCGTCACCTCCCGCAGGAAGTGCATGATGTCCGCCAGGCCGATCTCCGACATGACGCCGCGCAGGTCCGGCAGCGACGGGCTCTCCGGAGGGATGTCGCCGCACGAGGCGCACAGGCGGAACGACCACCTGCGCTCAGCCATCTGCGAAGCAACACAAAGTGCGCCATGAGATGGAAACTTCCGGATGTGTGTGCGGATAGTTTGGAAAAGTTGATCAAAACGGGCACAAATGTCTGAAAAATCGTGTTTTGGGCCGACTTTAAGCATCCACTGCGTCTGATCCGAGGCGGTATATCGTCCTCCCTCAACGGGCAATTGGTCTTTGGACCTTCCTTTAGCATGCCTTTGTTACGGAGTGCGATTATCTGCCTTAGTTTGGGAGCAGTATTGCCGCAAAGTTGATCAAAACGATCACAAATGTCTGTGAAAAGTCGTGTCTTGGGCCGACTTTAAGCATCCACTGCGTCTGATCCGAGGCGGTATGGCGTCCTCCCTCAACGGGCAATTGGTCTTTGGACCTTCCTTTTGCATGCCTTTGTTACGGAGTGCGATTATCTGCCTTAGTTTGGGAGCAGTATTGCCGCAAAGTTGATCAAAATGGTCACAAATGTCTGAAAAATCGTGTTTTGATCAACTTTGCGGCAATACTGCTCCTAAACTAAGGCAGATAATCGCACTCCGTAACAAAGGCATGCTAAAGGAAGGTCCAAAGACCAATTGCCCGTTGAGGGAGGACGACATACCGCCTCGGATCAGACGCAGTGGATGCTTAAAGTCGGCCCAAAACACGATTTTTCACCCCAAGGTTGGGAACCGCGGGGATAGGGTCAGTCCGCATTTCCACTAGCCTGAACGAATTATCTTTATTTTCCAGGGTATCCACACAATGCCTTTTCGTCTGCGCTCGCCTCACTGCATTGAGGCGGGGCGGGGCGGGGCGGGGACGTCGGTCTGGCAGTGCGGTATCGCGGTCCGCAGCCCTCGCCCCTCGGCGGGGGGCTGTAGACTGATTCCGCGCAGTGCGGCCGTCGGTCTGTCTCTCTCGCGTCGGTACGGAGCGCGCCGCGAGTGCGACAGAGAGAGACTCCCCTCGGAGTGAGTCCGCTGGGCGGGCGCGGGTTCGGCGCGGGGCTTCGGCACCGTTATCGACGGGCGCAGTCTTACCGCCGCGTGGCCGCGTGGCCGCGTCGTCGTCGGGGTGCCGGGGGGCGGCCCGGGGGCCGGAGGGCCGGAGCACGCCGTTGCCGTGGCGACGTAAACAGCCGGCCGTCGGATGCGCCTCGCGTCGCGTTCAGTGCGCCGGTTACGCCCGCGCCGTCCAGGACGGCGTCCAGGGACTCCCGGTGACGGGCCGCCAGCATGGGGGCGAGCGAGCCCGCCGAGCCGTCGTCGGCCAGCCTCCACGACGGCGGCGGCTTCGGCGACGAACCCGGCGACGGGGCCAAGTCCGAGGCCTCGCCGCCGACGCCGCCGTCGGAGTGCCAGAGGGTGCTGCGGCGCCCCCAGGGCCGCGTGGGGGACGGCCTGGACCAGCCACCGCCGTCGCCGCGCCACGAGGACGACGAGGACTTCGAGGACTACTGCATGTGTGAGTGCCCGCCTGGCTCGGTGGCTGCGGTGCGCCTTTCGGCGCCGGCCTTTTTATTAAATAGGGAAATGAGGCCCGGACCGTGGGAGTCACGCCAGCCGCGAGCATCACGCCAACCTGGCCCTCCTTGATTCGCCCGGGGTAGTCCGGGGTGGTCCGGGGTAGTCCGGGCAGTCGTACAGTGCAGTGCCCGACGAGGCATGCCGAGAGACATTCCGGGCAGGCAGGCAGGCAGCAAGCGGGCGCTAGGCCGGCTTGCCTTTCTTTTCCGGTCGAAGGCAGACGTCAGGCATTATTATTGCAGCCTGGAGCCGAATCGAAACACAACGTCAGGCACAACGTCGGGGTCGTCCCGTCCCGCGGTGGCCGTGGTGGGGGCGGGGGTGGTAAAAAGGCTGGCCCGCCCGGCGGCTATACCCGACCCGCCTTCCTGTTCCAGTCCTGCAGCCCGCGCTCAGTGCCTACAACATGGCCGAGAAGATCGCCGAGGCGAACCGCACGCTGGCGCTGCAGCAGGCCAAGGACGCCAAGGACGAGGAGGACGACGCGCAGCGCACGCAGCAGGCCACGGAGCGCGCCAGGAAGGTCACCTTCAAGGACATCCTCGTCGCGTACGGCCCCGACGAGTCGTTGTCAGGTCAGTCTGTAATTCCCGATCGCTTCGCTCGCCGGCGACATGCCGTGGTTACTTTCCACCCGGACACCCGGACAGAGCAACGGCCGAGAGGGCGTTCCAATCGCTCCCCGCAGTCATTCGAACGTTTACTTCAAAGTTTATTCGTTCGTTCCAGAGGACTCGTCGTGCTCCTCGGACGAGGACGGCGCTGGCGCCAGCGAGTCCCAGGACGTCGTGTGCGCCATGGCGGCCGGCGGCGATGACCACGCCGATGAGGCTCCCGCCGGCGGCGACCTAGCCGCGCCAGACGCCAGTGGCGTCCACACCGCCGTGCCGGTCCTGGGCTACGTCATGGAGTTCGAAGCGGACCACGCGGACGACGACCACGCCAGCTGCGAGGAGGAGGCCGAGGAGGCCGTCGTGGACGAGGACGGCGTGTTCTCCACGTTCGTGCGGGCATGCTCCCTGGACAACGAGGACGAGCCGTCGGACGTCCCCGGGAGGAACCGGTAAACACTCATCACCATGACATTTCACGCGGCGTCAAAGTCATGTATCCATTTATTGAATTTCCTCCTGCTGCCTCTTAGCGACGCCGTGTCCGCCAACACCTGGTCGCCGTTCGTGGCCGTGTGCGAGGACAGCTCCGACATGAGCTCCGACATCACGTCGCAGGAGGAGTCCGCGTCGTGCCCCAGCAACAGCCTGGACAGCCCGAACCGCAGCCCCGCGCCGCAGGTGCGTCGCGCCGACGGCGTCCCCCGGGCCCCGCGGACGCCACGGCCGCGCCGCCGCCGCGCCTCGGCCGCCCCAAGAGCGCGTCCAGGGTGCGGCGCAGGGTGGGCGTGGAGCCGACGCGGAGCTCGTCCTCGGAGGCAGTGCCGTCGCCCAAGGACTCGCCGATCGCGTCGCCCGTCGCGTCGCCCGTCGCGTCGGCCACGGCGTCACCCGTCGTGTCGCGCGCGGCGTCGCCAGTCACGTCGCCAGTCGCGTCACCCGAGGCGTCGCCCGTGGCGTCGCCCGTCGAGTCGCCCGTCGCATCGCCCATGGCGTCGGAGAGCGCGACGAGCAGCTTCTCCGACGACGACGACGACGGTGACTTCGCCGAGGTAGTGTCGCCCCGGGTCAGCGTGAGCGTCGGCGGCAAAGGCGCCGCCACCGCGAGGCCGCCGACGGCGACGCCGCCCCAGCCCGCTCCAGCGACGACGCGGAGGGCCAGGTCGACGAGCACCTTGCAGTCCGGCCGGGCCGCGCGCCGCGCCCCCGCCCCGTCGCTGCGCCCCGCCACGGCGCCCGCGCCCCCGGCCGGCGGCCCCGGCCCGCACCTCCCCGTGTACCGCGGGCTGCGCTCCGAGTACGGGCTGACGGCCGAGCAGCTCCTGGAGCGGCGGCAGGCGCGGGAAGCAGCGCGTCGACGGCGTGCCGAGCAGCGGCAGCAGCGGCGCCGCGTGGAGGAAGAGCGCAGGGCGGAGAACGAGCGGCGGTACCGGGAGTGGCTCGCCGCCAAGCGCGGCCAGGCGGCGGCCGCCGCGGTGGCCACGGCCGAACCCTGCCGGTTCTTCCCCTACTGCCCGCTGCCCCCGCGGCCTCGCACGCACCCCCGCGTGCCGCCGCGGCCGCAGATCAAGGTGCGGCACGCTGTCTCTGTCACGCTCTCACGCCCGCAGCGAGAGAGACGCGTCAAGTTAAGGCGGAGGGCGCCGTGGAGGTAGGCAGGCCCGCCGGCCGGCGGTGCTCGCATCCTCGCCGGCTGCCTACCGCCACGGCGCTCCTCGCTCTCAGCAGCAGACTGATTCCGAGAGTCGTTGTCGTCGCTCTGTCTCTCTCGCACCAACGCAGCGCGCCCCATGAGTGCGAGAGAGACAGAGCGACGACAACGACTCTCGGAATCAGTCGGGTGGACTGTGAACCTGACACCGCGTCGCTTCCACGCGTGCTTGCAGCCGCCTCCACCGCAGGCTCCGCAGGCCGGCGAGCGGGAACACCGGGAGCCCCTGTGCAGGACGTTCGACGCATTCGAGGTGCGGCCCAACCCGTACTGCAAGTCTGCGGTGTGCCAGGCGAGAGCCCGCAAGTGAGTGACACGATTCGTAGTAACCGGTAGTACCTAGAAACTGACCAAAGTTATAGCTTCTTACTGATTCCGAGAGTCGCTTTCGTCGCTCTGTCTCTCTCGCACTCGTGAGGCGTCCCGTTTATGTGCGGGAGAGAC